AATTTAGGGTTTTTTTTTTGCCGGAACCATCCCACGGCCGGGGGGGGGGGGCTGCCAGTAGGTTCTGAGCTGCAGGGGGCCTGCTCCTTCCTTCCATGGCAGTGGCGGCCCCCAGACCTCCCAGATGGGCTGCTAGTGGGCCAGGTACCGGGTCCGAGCTAGGGCAGCACTTTTCCTGCTAATAGCCCACCCAGGGATCCCCAGGGGGTAAAACCACCGCAGAAGGTAGAACTGGGCCCCCCGCTGCCTTTCCCCCCCAGGGCTTCCAGCACCCTATGCACTGTCTCTACCATCTGGGATCACCCAGAAACAGGATGGCTTTGCCCTGAGGACAGTGCAGGAAGGTAGAAGGAGGCAGCTGAGTGTGCTGGCACCTGGAGGAGGTGGCAGAGAGTGCATTGGGCACTGGAAGCCCAAAAGGGCTCAGGGATGGATGCAACACTCCAATTTGTTAGGTAGCAAACTAAAATATATTGGGATGTGTTTTAGTTTGCTACATAACAGTCATTTGCTTTGCAATACATCACCGCATGTGTACAAAGTGACAAAATTAAATCGCAACACACTACTGCTCATGTAACATGTGACACAATTAGACTTCTAAAAATGGCAGTTTCATCACATGTACAAGCAGCCATATGGTCATATATAAAACACCTAAGTTTCCTATTTGTGGAACAATATTATATTATGTTTTTATTTAATGTTTTATTGTTTAGACTGCAAGGAGATAACTTAGCGGAACAGGCGGAGGATGTCTCGCTCGTGTCTCTGGCTCCTGAGCAAACGCTGCTTGACTCTGATGGTAAGTTACATGATGTATGTAAGGCTGCTCTTGTATCAAACCAGGTTATACTGATGAAGTAGTGGCTTTAAATAAAATATGTAGTCAAACTAGAAATTATTAAAGACATTTAATATTGAAAAGTCTACAACAACAAAAAACAAATCAAATCCAGCTCTCTGAGCACCCTGGATGTAGCTTTAGAAAGCACAATAGATTATAAAACAACACTTTTTCTTCCATCTTCCTAATCACCGATCTGGAAACAGCAGACCCATAACTTATGATTATTCCCCCAAGAAAAGTCTTTCCAGATCCTGCCTCACCTCTCCTGCAGTTCCCACTGTAAAAACATGGGCTTTACAATGTGCCAGAATAGTTTACCAGTCACACCAGATGGTGTTGAGCTTGGTCTTACTGTTGCTGTATATTCCAGGCAGTCCCTCAAATAGAAACAATTTCCAATGAAGTATATCTAGACCAGACTAGTTTTGGCTTTGACTTGTTAAGACTTTAGCAGTCACCTACTGGTAAGGCCATATTTTACTTTGGTAAATAAATAATTAATAAATATAGATCCAAAATATACTATTTTACTTATCCCATCTTATGTCTGCTACTCTACACAAGGCCATTCAGAATCTTTTCCTAGTTTTGAATGTTCTTTAATTGTTTGCTCCACACACTTCTTTTGCAATTCAGTGATTGTTACAGTTAGTAGCTCCACCTGCATTACTGAAGAAAAAATGTAGACCTGCCTATCCACACTTCTGCATTCTTGCTCTCAGACCATTAGCATACCCACTGTGCTCTGCCATTTCATACCACTCTAAGTCTCTCTCCTATGGCAGCAGAACGTGATCAATAAAATAGGAGGCTTGGTTGTGTAACAGACTCTCTGCAGCTGATAGGGGTTCAGAGGAATTAAGACCCTGAATCCTACACCTCTCCCCTGAAGAGGGAGGAAGATATAGGTTGGAACCTTTTCCTTATGTACACATCTACCTCTTGTGGGTAAACAGCTACTCACTGACAACCCATTACCCAGATAAACAGAAAATAACAGTCCCTTAGGGAAGAAGGTGTGAGGGAGGTAGTTATGTGCTGCCAAATTTTTTACAAGGGGCTGTCAGAAATGTTCTGCCTCCTAACATAAGCTTTTTCCTACAATGCTTGTTAGCAATATATTTTGATTGAAAAATGCAACTGTCTATTACAAGATAGCATTGCCCAGAAACAGGAACAAAACTCATCAAAGCCAAACCTATCAACCTATACCCATGGTTCTTAACCTTTTTTGCACCAAAACCCATCTGTAAAACATTGATGTCCAGTCCCGACCCACAGCCCCTATTCCTGCTAGTTGACCCATCACTCCCAACCCACAGCTTCCTGGCCATGCTGGTGGCTCTCACTTCCCACTCACAGCCCTGTGGCACTGCCAGTCCCCCTCACTCCTGATCCACAGCTCCCTGGCCTTGCTGGTGCCCTTACTCCCAATCTGCAGCCCCCAAAAGGGGCCCCCAACTGCCCCCGCCCGACTCAGGCTGGACTGTGGTCTCTGCAGCAGCTCCAGTTAATGCAAATGGAAGCAGAGCAAGTCCAACCCCAGCGTGGTCTGGGGGGAGGAGGAGGAGAGGCCTGTGGCACTCTGCCCCACCCTGGGCTGGGGCTCCCACACACCACACCACACCACACCACACCACACGACACCACACCACACCAG